TTGGCTTACCAGCAGGGATCCCAGTGTTCCCTGTTTTAAAATTCTCTGATAAAAAATCCCAAATTCATTCTTTAAAATACCCCAAAATCTGTGTTCTTCCATGATTAAAATTGAATGCCATGATATAGAAAGAGAAAGAGAGAGAGAGAGATCAGTTTGGAAATGTTTTATTGATATATTTACAATTTTAAAGCAAGTTGGAAGCCTACTAGTACCTCCATCATCATCATAAAATACATTCTAAATAGCTATATGCTTTGGTGTTTGTTTTTGTTTTTTTTATCATAGAAAAATCAGAGCTTCCCATGACCCCTTCACTAACCAGGATGTGGGGACAGCTGCCTCTGCAGCCACAGCTCCCACCAGCAGGTTCTATTCTATCTGGCAGCTGGGCATCCAGCCTGTGAAATGTGGGGGGGATGTGGGGTCTGCAGAAGGGGTGTGGGTGTGGGGTTCTGGGGTGGGTGTTTGTGTGTGGGGGGTGTGGGTATAGGGGGATGTTGGGTTTGTGGGTGTGTGGGGGGATGTGGCGTGGCTGGATGTGGGAGTGTGTGGAGGGATGTGGAGTATGCATATGGGTTTGGGGTTTGTGGGTGAGTGTATAGAGTTTGTGGGTGGGTTTCTGGGGGGGGTTGGGGAGGGGATGCCACATGCCACCCCTCCACCTCCTGTGGTGCACAGCCCCCAGGGCTGGCAGCAGCAGCCAGCCAGGCAGTCAGGGCCATGGCCTGCTGCAGGCACAGTTACACGGTAGTGCAGCACTACCTGACCTGGGGTCTGTACATGGCAAATAGGCCCAGTCCAAGCCAGCCCCACCTTGCCTGCCCCACTAGTGCGTGGCTTTGGTCAGGACCTGCAGGTGCTGACCTGGTCCTATTGAAAGGCGCATGCTAGCAGGGCAGTCTGGGCTGGGCCAGGTTGGGCCAACTCTGTTCATCATGTGAAGACCCTGGGTCAGGTGGCACTGTGCCTGCAGTGGGCCACAGGCTCAATGGCCTGGCTGGCTGTTGCTGCCAGTTGGAGTGCACCAACAGAGATTTTTGGGGCCAATAACGATAAATGATTTTTAAGGAGGTATATTGGCTGATATCAATCTGATTTCCAATACGTAACTCTTCAGCTTGAAGAGCTATATCCAGCTGGTAAGTCTGCTGTGGTGGAAGGGGAGGGAAGGGGTGTGTGTGGGGGTGCAGATCAAAGCCCCTGTAGTGAGGGAGGGAATGGGGTTGGGGCAGGCACTGACTAGCTGGGTCAGAGAGGGGCATGGGATAGAGCCAGAAGCAACTTGTCTGGGGGGGGTTTGAGGGGGACGTGTGTCCCCCAGATCTGTGCAGCACAGGTCAGGCTGCATTTGTGGGCTGGGGCCAGGGCAGGCACAGGACGGAGGCACAGCTCATTGGGTGGGGGGAGCAGGGAGGTGGGGGGTAGTTCTTGCCAGTGCTCCCACCACTCATCTGGAAGGATAGGGGGCACAGGCCCACAGATCTGCCCGGCTGGGAAGAGCCTGGACCCAGCCTGCCCTGGCCCGCCCCATGTATATCCAGGGGCACACGCGGCCCTGCTATGTGGTTTCCTGGATGAGCAGCAGGAGCAGTGATGGGAGCCACCAGACAAGGATCGGACAGGCCGCACACAGTGGTGGGAGCCACACCCCTCCCTTTCTGTGCCCCCCAGATGAGCTGCAGCTCCATCCCACACCCACCCCAGCCCGGTCTGGGTGGCCCCTGTCCCATCTCTTGCCCCAGCCCCAACCCCACACCCTCTGTCACCATAGGGGCCTTGATCTTCCCCCCCACACCCCTCCCCACTCCCCCTCCCTTTCCACCACACCAGACTTACCAGCTGCACGCTGCTTCTCTAAGCTGCCAACTCTGCTCCTCACTGCCTATATGCTGTGCTGCAGCTGTGCACATACGTGGGCCATTTATTGGACAAAATATCAGCTACATCGGGCTCATTTCTGATACAGAAAATTTTCTTTATATCGGCACCGATCCAATATTGGACTGATGTATTGGTGCACCTCTAGCTGCCAGTGCCAGGGACTGTGTGCCACAAGGGGAGGGCAGGTGTGTGGCACCAGGATTTCCCGGTTTCAAATTTAGAGTCTGCACTATACAGCCAGAGGATCATTTTCTCATTCTTATTGTGCCTCTTGAGATGTTGCAACAGGCATGTGGTCACTTGTCTGGACATGCCCTATGAGGCCAAATTGGAACTCTCCTTCTAGGATGTGCCCCTGAGGGGAATTATACTGAAATTTTAACTTTTCAAGTAATTATTCTATAATATAATTAGATGGTAAACTTCTACATGTAGACAAGCCTTGAAGGTCATACTTCTGTCCTGCTTTTCTTATTCTTAAGGGTACAGTAAAAAGTAAGCAATGGCCCTCATTTGTTGGGAAGATTTCCTTTCACTCTTGTCTGGGCTGTGTCCCTAGTATGGTTTAATAGCTTTGCTCTTCCCCCTGTCTATCCATCCTTTGTGGGGATTGTCTCATGAGGGGGGAAAAAGTATAAGGGAAGGATGGACCAAGGATTCAGTAGCCTTGCCTTCTCCTTTCTCTCCACCCATTTGCCAAACTATAATGGAACTGGCCCTCCATAGTGCTCTCTGGGGGCTGGAGAGAATGGAGTTTTAGTTCCTTGCACAGCAGTGTAGGACCAGGACATAACCTCACCTGCTGTGCTTATTGAACACCCTACAGTTTACTATATTTTTATTTTAGGGTTTCAAAGTAACATGGTAAAGACCTTGGAGTGGTGGATTGTTTCCAGAAGTACCAAGCATGATTGCAGCAAGGGTGGCAAACAGTCATCTATTATACATATACACATATGCACATACATATACACATATGCATATATCTTTAGCTGAGGCGTGCTAACTACTAAGACAGGACAATGGTATATCTGCCTCTGGGAAGGAGACATCGTACAAACACCTGCATACAGACAGCTTCTGCTCCCACTGAAATCAACAGTTTCATAGTAATAACTCAGAGTGGAATTTGACTCATATGACTGTTAATTACTGTTCGTTGCTTTCTTATTTCATATTTTTATTAAGGCACCACTTACCCAATCACTTATTTTCATGTAGAGCTAATGTAACTACCAGTATTCAATATTTTTAAAGACAAGGGAAACAAGTCAAGTCATTATGAAACCAAACAATTAAGTGAAAGAACAAAATCCATTCTAGTTAGGCTGTTCCTTTCCACTCACTTTCTTTCTCTGTTTCCTTGTGCGCCACTATCTGCTTCTCTTCTTGGTATATATGAGGCTAAGTACAGACATTCAGGGGGGTTATGGGGAAGTTAGACCAAGAGAGCTAGTGTCGGGAAGGGGGTTGGGTGATTGCAGGGCTTGCTGGACTGGAGGGGTG